GCGCCCACCGTCCATTTACTTGTTCTACCTACTATATGTTAATAATAACTTAATTCGAGAATAAATTTAATCATAATTAATGCGAATTTGACTACCCGGACCGACCGGGCTCCTCTTTTTTGTGACATCTTCTTAAGTGACTATCGGGTGGAAGTTCGGTTCGGCCTTAAAGTTTTGAAGTCCCTAAGACTTACACATCTCTAAAACTTTATCGCCTAGGCTTAAGCGTAAATCTAGCACTGACTAATTAAACAAAGGCAAAAAGTAGTTTTATTATATTAAAGAATGAAAATGGATTCTGATTGAATCAATATAATGATGATCCTTTATGATCGATTTAAGAGGTGATTCTACATTGAAAAAAAAATTAATTTCAAAATTGTTCTAGAATGTAATAATGAAGAAAAAAAAAATTATGAGCTGTATTTTTTCCGAGTATAGCTCTTATATACTTCTACAGCGTCTACATTTCATTCAAGTCGGTTAAGCCGTTTTTGAGAAAAAATGTTTTTCTGATTTTTCGTTTTTTTGGATTTATTTAAAAACTAAAATAGATAGAGATCCAAAATTTGAGGGATTAACGTATTTCATTAGTACAAATATACCTTCAAAAAATTATCCAGATATGCCTCTGGGGCCGATTCACTATGCTTAGTAATAATAATTTGTTATAATGAATTAGGAATTTTACTAAGTACATAATAAAACCGATGTAACTAACTTATAACTTAGTTCCTCCTACCACAGTGCAACTCTGTTTTTTGTTTATTAAGTGCTTATATTAGATTTGAAAAATATTATTTTATCTATTGCAATTTATCCATGCGATGATGCCACTATGTGGGGAAATGGTCGTGGTGGTTGGTGTGTTTAAAAGATGCTTTGCACATTTATAACGTCTCTACGATTCCAATCTGGATTAGAGACATTAACTCTTGCTCGATATTATACCTAAAGTCTTACCAATCTTTCTGGATAATGTTCGTATTCAAAACGACTAGTATTTCAGTCCGATTCCGATTTTATCTTGTTGGCGAAACAGAAGCACCGCATGGAGGTGTACGTATACGGTATTTCCTTTGGGATTTTAATAAACCGCTTTTATTATCATGGCAAACTCTCTCAGAATAACATTTGGGTTCTTGACGTCCAGATTTTCTCGAAAATTCATGTAATTTGACTGGTTCTGTGAGTGCGCCTGTTCGAGTACACACATCCAAAAGTAAATTAGATGCCAGGCGTTGTTTCCGTAATCTCTGCGAAAGCTTTTGTGTCACTAAAACGCGTGTTTTGTCGAGATAAATAGTTGGAAGTTTCCTTTCGGTCTTTGGTCGTAAACCGCAACGGTTGCTGCTTACGTCGCGTCGTCGTATTTGTTTGAAAGCACCTTGTGTCCATTGATAAAAACGACTAAGTTTCTGAGACTTTATGAAAGGAGAAAATTCGAAGCATGTTTTTGATATAAAACATTAAATAACAAGTTTCATATATCTGATTTATAACGTTCTACTCCGACAAATAAGACGATTACACTATATACGCCGAAACAAAACGTATTTTTGACTATTATAACTCTATTACAAACAGATCTTGCATGTAGCATTTATCCCAGTATGTATTATTTACGTTACTTATCCCTAATTGACAGTCTTCTGTCAGTTGCTTTTATTTTGCAGTCTCTGCAACTCTCTGCTGTCGGCAACAATATAAAAGTTGTCTCCGTATCGATTGCCGACTGAGGCGTCCGTTCGTGGAAGTATCTTTCAGATTGTAAAGGAAATAGTATTGCTATATTTATAGTTTAGTGCAGTATTGTTTAAAATTCGGGATATCGTTAGATACGTATATGTTATGGTTAAAGTCATTTGTTGATTATAATATTATCTAGAACCAATTGTTCTGTTATCTTCACGCTAATATTGATGTATCGGTTGGTAAGTTAAATTTGTCATACGTGACGCAAAATGCAAAATTCTATGGCGGTTTTAGTTGCATAATCGTTAATACAACTATACACGCTAGCGTAAATAAATACATTTACTGAAAAAATTGTATTAACTTTCTACAGTGTTGTATTTCTTGTTAAAGAAATGCAATTGAGAAACTAACAAGCACATCAAAAAATTCCATTCATCATTATCATCATCATGAGGTTGTCAGTCCTAAGACTGGTTGGACACGTACCTCCACTCTGTCCTATCCTGAGCTAATCTTCCCATATCCCTAAAACTAGAACAAACCCATACAGATGGCGTTTACCGCGCCATTTGTGGTATTTTCTAAAACGCGCTATTAAGACAGCAGGTAAAAGTTGGTCTGTGTTCTGTCAGAGCTGCCTGCGACGCGTTGATGAGATCTAGAAAGATCGAAATCGCGATCCGCGTCTGGTAGTTTCGACAGAATACAGCCCACTTCGAATTATTTTATTCGATTATGGTAACGTGCCTATCACGTTGAGGTTACCTACGCCGGGATTCGTTTCAGCAAGTAGATATTCCTATATTTAAATGGACCTTGTTGGAGCATACGTAATCCTAAAATGTAGCATTGTACTAAAGATGGCGTTTACCGCGCCATTTGTGGTATTTTCTAAAACGCGCTGTTAAGACAGCGGGTAAAAGTTGGTCTGTGTTCTATCGGAGCTGTCTGCGACGCGTTGATGAGATCTAGAAAGATCGAAACCGCGATCCGCGTCTGGCAGTTTCGACAGAATACAGACCACCAGATGCTTCTGTTTACTGAAGTTTGGCGCGAGTAAGCACGAGAATACCCGAGTGCTTGTCTTTTGTTTCCTCGCCCCGCCGGCGCTCGGCTCCAAATGCGAAGACGATATGTTTTCGTTCCAGTAAGAGTAAAAATTCGCGGCGAGGATTGTGGATTACGTATACCTATTTTGCTGATTCATTTTTTTGACACCTATTCGACTATTTTGGTTTGTATTCGAAAATGACATTTTGGAAACAGCTGCATGCCCCCCTTGCAACAGTCTCGCACACCCCTAGGGGGGCGCGCCCCACAGATTGGAAACCACTGAGCTATGTATTGATATATTATACAGTACCATTATTAACAAATTTGTGTTATAAAAAAACAAAATACAAATGAGAGACAAAAGAAGGGAAACATGAAATTCCGTGTATTATTATTTTATTTTTGGTGACAGCGCAATTGTTCTTACACAATCTGTTGTATTTTGTGAGGCAATATTTGTTTATTATTTTTTTTTATTAAATAACATATTTTAAATAACGTTAATGGAAATTAATATAAAAGCTATGTGTGTTGAT